GGTGCGGTGTGGAGGGATCAATGGGGGGAAGGGGGACATCTGTAATACTTTCAACAATAAAGGTAAATTTCTTAAAAATTGTGAGCCTTTTCAACTGCGTACATGGTATGCCTCTCCTTTTATGCCAGCAGTCTTTTCTTTATGTGGGTCTTAGGCATAGCCTATAAAGCTTATTCCCACCAGTTTTTGTTCTTGTTGCTATAGAGAGTGACTCAGTAGCTCCGTTAACATTTTTTCCTCTTAATCCAAGATGTTAATCGGCTAAAATGTTATCTAAACCGGTATGAAATACTGACATACTTGCAAAATGTAAAAATGGTACAAATGTCACCTTTTAATTACCCAAAGGATTAAATTTTCACTTCTTTTATAAATATCCTCTTCATCTTCGGATAGCTCAGGACCTACAGTCTAGGTTTGAATACAGAGGGTTGTTCAGCAAAACTGAAACATTATTAATCATGAAATTTATGCCCGTTAAAAAAAATTCTCCAAGGTATGCCTGTGACTTGGCTCGTGCAATTTAAAATAGGTTACTACTGCCTGCAGTTCACAAAGCCATTTACAAAATGACTAAAATCTTTCCACAGGAGATTTAATTGCAAATATAAAACAAACAAAACGGAAGTTGGTCCTCTGGCAGCTCCCTCTCCTGTGACTGATGACTGATTCCTGATGTGACCTTGGATAAGTCACTTTTTCTTTCCCTGCCTCACTTCTCTTATCAACAGAATGGAACAAAGAATGCTGATATAGCCAAGGAATGCTCTCTTAGTTAGGGATTAACTATTGCAGATTACTTGGCTTTAAGTGGGCAAGTATTATAAAAACTCTTAGAGGCCAAAGTTATCTGCTTATAGGTCTTCAAAGTGCAAGTCAGAGGGACATACAGATGGCTCTTTGCTCAGGGAAGCCCTTTGTACTCAGATGTGCTGTTCATTAAGGGAACATTCTTTAGTTGTAGGTGACCCTGACTTTTACAGCCCAGTCCAGGAACTTTTTGAAAGGCAGCTCCAGTCAGACCAGGTGTTGGGGCAGAAGGCATAAGCTAGAACTGTCATGGACACTGGGATGATAGGCTCCCAATTGCCATGGCAAGAAGGATGGGGGACAAGTGACTCCTCAGTCTTTCCTTCCTGTGCTGTTTGCTGAGCTAAGCGAGTGTCAGAGGTTCAGGACGCATGGTTTCAAGTTATAACTCTCACCCTCTGTTATTTTCCTGCTTACTCTTATAACAAACCATAATCGAGTGCGTTTTCTTCGCTGACAATGTGATAGGACTTCAGAAACAACCAAGACACTTCCCCTATTCTCACTGAGCTTGTAATATGTTTTAGAGGTTGTCTGGGATCTTAGCAGGAGTCAAGAAACGGGATTTCCTTGGATGCCTCTAATTGTGACACAGCCACTTTTGCGGTTTGTAGGAACAAATGCAGCGCCTGCGGCATGACACATCCTAGGATATTGTTTTACTGGCAGTGCTCCTGCTACTCTTGGTAGGAACTCTGAAGATCTTACTTTTCTGCTTTAAAGAAAGCATTAATGGGAAATGTTTAGTTTAACTAGTAATAGAAGAAATACTAGCTTTCTACCAATGGCAACATTTTAAAGTGTCAGTGCCCACTTCCGGTAAGGCTACAGGAAAATGGATATCCTCAGGCACTGCCAGCTAAGTGTCAACAGGTATTGAAAGCCATGGGGTTATCAATACAGTGTGTCCCAGAATTCTACTCTTGGAATCTAGCCAGAGGAGGAAGGTGCAGACCTGATGGGTCTGACCAGAGGAGGGTGTGGGCCTGGTGGATCTGCCCAGAGGAGGAGGGTGTGGGCCTGGTGGATCTGACCAGAGGAGGGTGTGGGCCTGGTGGATCTACCCGGAGGAGGAGGGCGTGGGCCTGGTGGATCTACCCGGAGGAGGAGGGTGTCGGCCTGGTGGATCTGACCAGAGGAGGAGGGTGTGGGCCTGGTGGATCTGACCAGAGGAGGAGGGTGTGGGCCTGGTGGATCTGACCAGAGGAGGAGGGTGCAAGCCTGGTGGATCTACCCAGAGGAGGAGGGTGCGGGCCTGGTAGATCTACCCAGAGGAGGAGGGTGTGGGCCTGGTGGATCTGACCAGAGGAGGAGGGTGCAAGCCTGGTGGATCTACCCAGAGGAGGAGGGTGCGGGCCTGGTAGATCTACCGAGAGGAGGAGGGTGTGGGCCTGGTGGATCTACCCAGAGGAGGAGGGTGTGGGCCTGGTGGATCTGACCAGAGGAGGAGGGTGCGGGCCTGGTAGATCTGACCAGAGGAGGTAGACAGTTATCACATAGGCGTCATGAGTAGTAGTTGTGATTACGGTTGAACAGTGTGCATGGTGATTACGGTTGAACAGTAGGTCTGGCTGACCTTCTCTCCTCTGAGGAAGCCTTCACGACACACACAGTCCGTGTGTGTGTGTTCACGCATCTCGCTTCCCTCTAACACAGCAGTGTAGCCAGCAGTTGGCACAGCTCTGCGCTCCAGGGCACTTGCTCATCTCATTATAGCTGGGTTTCCTGGTTCTGTAGAATGAAGATCTTAGCAGCGCCTGCCCATCACGCAGCACGGTGCCCAGCACAGAGCAGTTGCTGAACAAACGCTAGTAATTGTTGGTTATATTGTCTGTTTGCTTGTATACCTTCCCCCACGGGACTGAGCACTCATAGGTAAGAGATTCTGTCTTGCCCGGCATATTAAAAGTCTTCAGTAATCATTTTTGCAGGGAAAGTGGGCAGGGTTTGGTTGGATAAACTGTGGTTCATGTACTCAGTATAAGCCTGTAACTGCTGCGTTAGCGCTGGCACTGGAGACCTGCCAGGAGCAGTGGCTTCTTGCTGGATTGCACGTT